TTGGACATTAGACCAGATAGCAATTATTCCTGAGGCTCATTGAGTCGCTTTAGCATTTATAAGCACTATATCATAAGCAAAAACTAACAGAATTTGTTTACATTAAATGCTGCAAGAGCTTAGCTGACTGCCAAACCCAATATCACAAGATCACAAAATTGGTCTGGATGAAGAAGGCCCTTTGGTATAATATAAATTATCTAAGTTGTTTGTAAATATTGGTGATAGAAGAGTCCATAGTCATTTGTTCAGAATCTTGAATAGAACCAGTGGGCCTGACGTAATGGCATTCCTGGTAACCTAGTAGAAAGTCTCTCCCTTACAGTTGCTGAAAATCACAAGCCTAATGGACAGCTGGCATTACAGCTACTGTACAGGAGACTATTAATGAAAATGAAAAAAAAGTCCTGATCATTTGTTTCAGTGGCCCAGGTTTGATTTTGCCGAGGAGAAACCACGTACTGATTTGATTTATTTTCATTCAGCAGCAGCATTACAATTACAGCTCACACACAGCGATCAGATAAGTTTACACTTCATAGCGTACCTTAAATAATGTAGGAAATGTGAACTTATCTGATCACTCAAAGAGGTGTGAATTTAGTTTTCATCTACTAAATTGAATAGATTTACATTAGTGCATCATTGCTTCTGAATGAGAACCTGAATCCTGTTTTGATAGTTTTTTGTTGCCAAATAATTAATTAATTTTAGAATAAACAGTACCTGGATCAGCACCCCTGTTGGTAGATTGGATGTAACTGAACTTTTCTACAGCAGCTGCCAGCTGTCAACCATTTGCTGACTTCCATTTGGTGTTTCTTCAGAAGTATATTTGCTGTCATTAGTACTGACTGCAAGTGCTGTATTAAGTTGCTGCCAACAATTCCAGGGGGAATAGTCGAGACATGTTATTGTATAAAGCTATAAAGTGGTTGATGCAGATCATATTTATTGATAAAGGATTTATATGGATGAAGAATATTTCCTATTTTAGTTTTATTTAACCAACTCTCTCCTGATAGGAAGAATTCCTTTCTTAATCCTCTGTTTTAAGGTGGTTAATGTTGTTCTTCATGGTTGTAGAAATGATGAAACCTTTTGAAATAAAACTACATGGCCTCATGAGACACACTGTCAAGGGGCACTGTCATCAGGTACTGTATTTTGAAATTCCTAATCTAAATAACTACTCGTGTGACAACATCTGGCATTCCCATATACTGTAAGCATTCCTCAAAGTTTCTCTATTGGAGTTTAAATAAACTGGCCTTCCCTGCTTGCAGGCTTCAGTATTAGGAAAACCATCATAGCTATTTGTGGGATATTCCTGCAACATTACAAACTCGCTGCCTCTTTTGCTTAAACATATATGTCACTACATGTTACAGTAATTCCTGTGAAGTGCTTTGAAAGATGCTCCTGACATGAAAGATACTATACCAAATGCAAGGAGTTATTATCACACAGCTCCCCACCTGTATCAGCAGGATGACTCTATATTTTGTATTTGATTTGTTTTGTAGATCTACAGAAATATAAAACAGTACAAGCCCTCAACAGCCAACTTGCCAATGATTGTTGTTTTTTAAAAAAAACTATCAGAGTGGAGGATAAAAACTGGTATGTTTTTAACCCTCCTTTCTTTGTAACCAGTTTTCGTTCTGTGTAGTTTTAATAGGGTGGACAGGGCCTTTTTTAGCATTGAATTAATTTGAGATTATTAGTCAAAGATTCCCGATGAGTCATATCGTGGACTGCAGCCATTTTTGGCAAGAGTTTCATTCAAGTCTCTTCCCTGTTTTTCTCCCAGGATTAGGACCAAAAAGCTATTCTCCGTTAGGAATGGATTACAGATCACATCTTTAATATCGAAAAGGAAGTTTCGGTAATTCAACCTATCTTGCTTTTGCTGGCATCTTTTTAAATGACTGTACAATTTGTTTTCTTAAATTGTTGCCTTGTGTAGGTTTAGAAATATTTTCAACTAGAAATAATTTCTTATTTCATAGATCAAGATAGCTTAGCGATACCAATCAGACTTTGGGAACAATATCCCTCCAGTTCTGTGCCTTTAAGAAAGTTAATGGGGATAAAAATTGCCATGTTTCATAATGAGTGCAAATTTCACCCTAATGTCTTTCTTTTTCTTGAAATTCTTTCCTCTGTCCTAATTCCCCAGCCCACCACTCAGTTCTGATGAATGGTCCTGCCTGAAACATTAACTCGCTTTTCTTTTCCAGATGTTGATTGACCTGGTGTGGATTGCCAGCATTTGCAGTTTTCTGTTCATTTCTGGTAATTTCTGGTTTTTTAAAAAGAATGTAAAAAAAAACAAGCGAAACACAGACAACTTGGTGCCTCCCTGTAAATGCAATTACTTCTGCTCATGAGGGTACTGTAACTCATTTGTGACTTCATCGGTCATGTTATCCAGTCAGCCTCACTTAGTAGGCAGAAAGTCTTCTCACAGAAAAGCCAGTGAAAACCCTCTCTTTTCTCCAGCAGGAAATATCATTTTCTACATATTGATTTACGGAAGAGTCAATGCAGATAATGTTTAAATTCACGTCTCTTAAATATATTTTAAAACTGAGTATGTAACCCTGCAATTATTTTCATAACTTAATTTTAAAATACTCTGTTTTGAATAAAATTTGAATGAAACTTGGCACACAGTGTTGTGACACCTTATAAACTAGCAGGGTATGAAAATATGGTTGACTAGCAGTGAGACACACCCATTAAATTGCATGATGTCAATCTCTCTCCTGTCTGATGTACAACACAGTATTTTGTCAGTGAAACACAACAGAGCACGGGATTGAATTTATTCAATTGATTAAATGTCAGTGCAGCCTTAACAATGATTTGACATTCTATCAATACCATTTAGTTAGAGGGGAAATGTTGGCTTAGGTTTACATCATAATAATGCAGGTTTTTAGTTCTATCAGTGCCAACACCAAACTCTTGTGCATACTTTGACCAAATTCCTCAGCTTAGTATCACAGTAAAGATCTTAACATAAGCATATTTGGCATTATTTTGCAAACACTTTGCCTTGGAATTATCCATTCACTAGTTGACAGCAGGCTTCCTGGCACCGATCCTGTTTTAACCTAATGATATTTCCTCTTGTCAGTACCTCAGAAGAAAATTCAAATCAGTAAACGTTTATTTTTGTTTTCCAGCTCTTGATCAACCAAACTGATAAGGATATGTGTTTATAAGATGATGACCTCACCAGTTCCCATCAGCACACTTGTTGATGTGGCTCATGTGAGTCAAGAGATCCCACATTCACCTTACAAATCACTTCATGCCCTGGCACCTCCCTACCTCTCCAATCTGTTTACACCCCTCCCTTCACTCAGCTGGCTCCGACCTCCTGAACATCCCTCCACTCCATCAACGGTGTCCATGCTTTCAGCCACAATGCCCCAAGACCGGAACATTCTGCCTCAATTCCTCTGCCTTGTCTATCTTCAGATCACATGGACTGTGCCTACGATCACCTCCCCTCTCTCCCTGGCTCAGCGTTGAGCTCTGCCACTGTTAAGAGCTCCAAGACACTGCCTTGTGTGAAGACTGCTGTATAAATGCAAGTTGTCATTTAACGTAATATCAGTCATCAATATTTTGTTAATGTCAATATTGCAATTGCATGTTCAAGGTCTGTTCTGAGGAAAGCCACAACAGCCTTCACCGTACAGTGCTGGATTCCAGGGTTCAACTTATGATTCCCACACATCCTCATTTCATCCTACCAGTATGGCCTGTTGATAAGTGGAGATCAGTCACTTCCCTAAAAGAAGAGGAAACTACTGAAACAATAATATCAACAGTTGAAATAAATAATTCTATTTTAACAGTGTCCTTTCGCTTATAGAATTAAGGATTGTGTTGCCTCATTCTAACATTTCCTTATCTTATTTTGCTTGAGAGCAAGAAAAGGAGAGAGAGTACAGCATTTATCCCAGCTCAGTAAATCTCTCAGCCAGACAGCAAATGAAGGGAGCCCTGGAGGCACATGCAACAGCAGGTCTGCTGCATGTTACAGGTAAGGTCCCAAGTAGCCCCCAGACAATAGGTACATTATTAGCTGGTCTTTCTGCTCTGCCTGGCACTACCACACAAGGGGAATGCAAGGTGGCAGCTGTGTAGTACCACTGACTCAGCCCTTCTCTGAATTCTGGTGGCAGTGAGCTTCTGCCGGCATTCAACTGATAGACAATACTGCAATGAAGGGATAAGCCCTATTTTATTCCTCCAGCCAGCAGACCAACAATTGTCGACCTGTCAGCTGTGACACTGTTTCTAATAACTGTCAGCAGAAAATCCAGCCTCGAATCACAATAATTTTAGAAAATGTCAACCGTGGGGTCTGACCTGGGGGGATTTCTAACTGGATTCCTTAATAATACATTCCCTTATGTGGGGATGCTTTCTGGTATCAGGAATTATATCATGTACATTATGCACCCCTGGAAACTCTGCTCTTAGACCGGTTTGGAGTGGCTCTTCTAGTTTCCTTATCAATGATTCCTATCAGAAACTGATGCACAATAAGACTCCCATGTCAATCTATTTCAATAAAAACATTGATGCAGTTAAAAAGTAAATACAATTCCATTTTCATTCTATAAATAAGGTTAATGAAAGTATGCATTGCTCAGGAAGAACTGACATGTATTATCACTAACAGTACATTGAAGTAGGCAGTTTGTTTGTCCAAAGATAGGCCATCCAACCCAGGACCTTATTTGTAAATAAGGCTAATATTTGAGAAATGTAATTATTTTACCTGATTCAGTCAGAGCTGAATATGTAGCACTGCATAAATAGTTTTGGGCAATGCATAATTTACAAAATAATAATAAAAATCCTTGCATTTAATGAAGTGCTTAATCACGTCAACAAAACATCTCAAAGAGCTTCAGAATTTTACTGAATAAAAAAGAACTAATAAAAAGGCTTCTTTAATTGCTTATAATTTTTTTAAAAAAATGGAAGCATTTTTTGAGTTTACCGTTTATTTTATTATAGGCTTGCCAAAAGTCTACTGCTTGCTTCAAACTTACAAATTATGTGCGCCAGCTTTGTACTATGTTACCCGGCTGTTGGAAATGTGTCTTGTTATTCTCCTTTATAATTGTGCAATGCGTCTGGTAGACTACTTATAAGAATCGCAGACGAGGTCAGGGCATGTCAACATTACTCATTTCACAAACATGTACAAAGTTTGAGACCTTTTATAAAACATAAAGGTGAACAAAGTAATTGGCAAATGCTTATCTTTTTGCCGCAATGCAATTTTGTATTATTATTTGCTTCTGTAAATTGTAAAGTACATTTAACAAGATTTTGGGAAAATACCTGTGACCTTGTTAGATTTTCATTTTGCTTTCCTTTATTCCAGTACTTCCAGCCAACAACCTCAGAGGACAGGCTGATTGTGTAAGGATGAACAGTGTCCTCTGCTGGATAAACTGTGAAGCTGTATTTCTCATAGTACAAAGACATTTTGTACAGAGACATCCATTGAAACAAATCCCCCCCTGGACAGGAATAATACTGTAGTGTTTTCTTTAGTATAAGAAGGTACATATTCATGAATCTAAATCTTAACGCTAATCATAATCTAGCATCCGTGCATTCAACAGTAAAGGGAGTCAATCTTCAAGCAGTTTAAACTGGATTGAAACCAGTCCCAGAGATGATCGGACAATATTCTAACCCACTGCCTCATCCAATCCCTGTTCTGAAAATGCTTTGATGTTTAATTTTACTATGGTTGTAATATTGATCATTTATGCTGTATTATTAGTTTACTATGTGTTTATTACAGCACTCTGCTAAAGCCCAGATCCTTTTTAGATGTAGTGAATAAGTATTTGTAGGTTTCGTTCTTAAATAAAGTAATTTTAACAGAAAATTAGTTGATCAAGTGACATAAATTAAATATTGTGTTCCCAGTACAAATTTAAATTGTCTGTGTCGCTTTGGTGTCTCTGGTAAGAGTTTGTATAAACTAAAGCTAAGTTTTGCCTTGGTGCAAAATTGTCACCTTTAGTGTCTTTGAAAATACACCAGTCCCTTAATAGAATTCTCTTTAAAATGCCATTACCTCTGATATAATATACTAGTTCAGGCTCAATGATTATTGGATTAAATTATATCAAATACTCTATTTGTACCAGATTACTCATAATATTGAAACAATCTTTGAGTATCTTCTGAAAGCAATGTTACAGCCAGGGTCTCCTCATCATAAAGCAGAATTCACAAATTCCATTTTCATAGAGCATTTCCACATTCAAGAGTTGCAAAGCCACATTCTCTGTATTTCACTTCAATAAACAGGTTGTTTAATAACATGAAAGTAACGTGCATTGACAACACTTCAGGTAAAACACTAAACTTAAACCTAATTAATTTAAAAGCGTTTCTAATAAATAAATAAAAATCTCTTTTTTTTATAAAGTTGGCATTCAAAACAATTATTCATCAAGTAAATAAAGCCAAACATTAACCCATTGTGACTGTTCTGCCTCCCCTTCTTAGTGCTGTAGAAGGCCGACAAATCTTCAAAGAAGAAAAGCGTTCATTCAGAGTAACATTTGTCTGCAATAAAACATGTTTTGGTAAGATTTCATAAAATAATATTACCTAATTGCAGTGGAAACGAGCAGGCTGGAGATTTTCAAAGGTAAATCAAGCTAGGGGTCATAGAGGCAGACCTCAGAATGAAAATGAGTTAAGGGAGAAAAAACGTTTGGTAATTCTTTTAATGTGCGCATGTAAAACAATGGTTAACAATTAAGAATTTTCGTTTTAATATCAAGTAATTATGAATTGACAAGCATGGTAAAGTTGTTGCTTGGCACCCTGCACAATAACAATTTAATGAGCCCAATAAAATCATCAGAGTTATGTCACTGCTTCTGACTCTGTGCTGAACATTGCTCCAGTGTATCTTGCGCAAAAGATGCACTAATGCCATATCTAGAGGTTGAATTGTATACGGATTCAAAAAAGTATTTTCACTGCAAACACAGAAATAATTATGAAGAAAACATAAATTGTGTTCCTAATTATTTTGTCAGTGGTCATATTTCAGTAATGATGGCCAATAAAGTTAACATAGGGCATACTAATCTTTTACTTGCAATAACAACAACAAGTTGCACTTATATAGCGCCCTCCACGTAGGGTCGTGGCTCAGAGCGCTTAACAGTGGTGGAGCCTGACTCCGAGCTGGGGAAGAGGGAGGTGGCCGTAAGCAAAGTCGAAAAGGAAAGTTTTCAGGCGGGACTTGAAAGAGGGGAGAGTGCGGGCGAGGTGGAGGGATTGAGGGAGAGTGTTCCAGAGTTTTGGGGCGTAGTGGCTGAAAGCATGACCTCCGATGGTTATTGAAGGTCAATGATGATGTTTGCAGCACTGTGATCTCTCAGTGACAATTTCCCTTCTCAGAATTCAACCTAAGCTTGATTTTAGAACAGTCACATCCGTTGAGGTGAGTCTCATACTGCAAAGCTGTATTGCTTAGTTTGAAAAGATGCGAACATCTGATACAAAATGAAGAAGTGGTTTTTCAAGAAATACAGAACAGAACTGTCTGACATTTCACCAGATCAAACAAAAGCCCTACAGTACATTAATGGCTGTCAAGAACTGAATTGCCAAGACCCGAAGAGCAATGATGATGCATTCGGAGATTATATATGAGTTTGTTCAGGGTGTCCAGTTTATTCAGGGTATATATGTATGATATATATGCATTTAAAATAACAGGAAACTGTATTTACAGATGTTGTTAAATAAATGGCAGTTGTGACCTTGGACAACCACAATTGTCAAATATTACAGGAATAAGAAAGGAGCTATTTACACCTTCCCATCAAGAACCTTTAAGTGAGTTAAAATCCCGCGCACCACCATCTAAATGCCTCTTACAATCCAATACCTGATTGGCTATGCTTCTAAAATTGAAGCCAAGATAAACTCCTTTTGGTTGTTTCCTTGATATATTTGCTGGCATCTTTTTTCTTCCAGTTAAAGAAAAACGTTGGATTCTTGGTCTTCGATACCTGTGGATGAACAATATGCTCCAATTAAATCTGTACATTATTTTATGCAACTTATACACTACAGTATTTCCAATTAATATTACTTTTGCTGTATAGCTTCCTCTATCGGGTCTCATAAGATTTTCATTAGATTATATAATTTTTATTTTAAGGTTTACTCAATCAAATATTGTGTTGGTGTTTGAACAAATATGGTTTAAATTTCCATACCTAGTTAGGCCTATTTTTCTCCAACAAATATTGGATTCTAAAAGTTATTTCCAAGATCAAAAATAAATTTATATTGAAATATACAGAATCAAAAATAAGAGTGAGTCTTATATGGTAATGTATCTAGACCAGTTCTTACATATCTGTGTGTGTCCCAAACAATTTACCATAGCCCCTCAACAAGCATTTCCATAGGTCCTAAGATCTCTCCTGGTAACTTTTCGTGGGAATTTGTTTACATGATCATAAGATTGATTTGGATGAAGAAGGCCTATGTGATCTCATCCTTCCAGAAAATCCATCCTACCATCTTCCCATTATAGCATCAAGCTGTTTCTTTTAAATGAGTCCAATGACCTGAGTTCTACCGCCCTACCTGATAACCTGTTGATGTAAATTGCTGCAGTGTTCACCTATAACAATAATCGTATCACTTAACACTTTTGAAGGATTTTGTGATATTTCAATGTGATAAATGCAACACAAAATGCAACTTCTATCTTTTCATTTTTTAAAAAAAGTTGAGGAACAAAAATAAGAAGCAAGTTTCACCTTTTAGCCTGACTTTCATAGGTTGAGTGGTAGTTCCTCTTTACACGGAACAAGAGAGATTCAATGCATGTAGTAACAAATCACTGGCTGCTCTAATACATTTCCTGACATCATACAGTGAGAACTGGGTAATGATGTAGAATTAGCGGGGACCTAAACACACATTATCAGTTTTAGCATTAGGCATTTGTGATGACAGAGACTTAGCCATTGTTGTCAACTTACGCTGCTTGCTTGTTGGCCTGAGGATTGGGTAAATTAACTGTTAGGATAGAGCTGGAGGTTGACTGCTGTCTCCACCTGAAAAGTTTTTAAAAAAATCTATAAAGATCAATCTGAAATCAACATCAAATCAATACATATTTTAAGGAAATAGAATAAAGTGTAATTGAAAGGTTTGTCACAAGCACTATACTGATATTTGTATAATATCTACTTGCTATAGTCAATGGCAATAGGGTAATTTCCATTATTTTCATTGCATCTACCTGATCTCTATAAGGTAAGGTATCCAGTTTCATCTGTTCCACAAACATTATTCCACTTTCATTTATATAAAGAAATGATTTTCATTTTCACTTAAATATTATTCATCACATCAAAGAGTGAGCAGCAGGCTCTTGAAATGAAATCACATGGTCTGGTATTCTTTCAAATCTGACAGGAATCTTGGTTTTTTTTTGCTTTCCAACTGAGACTTGAGGGGGAAGAACTATAGCATTTTTGGCGTTTACAATATGTTCAAGGTTCCTAATGTGTCAAACTTGGTCCAACTAAGGAAATCAAATTGTTCTTCAGGCCACTAAATTATAAGAGGAACAGCACGAAAGGTTTAGTGTGTTTACCATGTTTAGACACTTTATCTGTTAATGGTAACATCTGACACAATGTTTTTTAAGCAAGCTGTGGCTTACATTCTAGTTCTTTGTTTCTTCTGTCCAACACTCGCACCCACTTGCTGTGTGAACTAAAAATAAAATGGTTACAACAAAATGTATCAAACTCTACAGCTCAGGCCACTACTACTCTTGTTTTCTATTACAGTCTACAAATAGTGCTGCTAGTCTTCCAAAAAACTATTTAAAAGATGTATATTAACCACAACAATAAAGTCACTTGCACATTTAAAGGTTAAAGCAACTTACCTTTAAACACAACAGTTTTAACACAGTAAAATGTTCCCAGTTCGCTAGACTTCTGAGTTTTAGCACTCAGACTTGCAGAAGCTATTTTCTGTTATACCATGGGTGTGGTGCCTCAGCCATTGTAGGTATTAGTGGCTGGGGGATATTTGTATTTCTGAGTTGCGATTTAGTGATTTTATGCTGATCATCATTGTTTTGTGGCACTCCAGTAATCGGTATGGTTCAAGTCTATGGTAACAGGGGCATATATTTAATATCTGGTGGCAGACACAAGCATATGAATTAGTCATGCCAAGAGGTTATATCCAATCTCTTGGTAGTGATTATTCTCCATCAGCTATTTATATCTAAATTTGGATTGAGAAGATCTGGGATGTTAAGACTGCATTATCAGAATATTTGTCAAACTAAAATGCATTTTATGCCTAGCAAAGTGTTGGTTATCCAAACTACATATGTTTGTTCGCTTCCTGACACTGGTTTTTAACTGATAATCATTTTAACAACTGATTAGAATGAGACTCTCTGTACACACAGATATGTTTACACTTATAAAAAATACTATAATACTTACACACATTGAAAGAGGTAATGACTAAGTACTGTACATCTATAGGTTATGCAACAGTTTTTCCCATTGGTGGTAAGATGAGGCATTGTTTCCACCAGGTGCATGGTTTTCTACTTAACAGTAGCTCTGAGACATTCTTTCTACACTTTCTCTTTAGTATTGGTGGTTTGGAGCTTCTTACAGAGCTCAGGAAAAAAAAGGTAAGATAACATACAAAGGGACAGTCAGTGTAACTGCTCAACCACGACCCAAATTTCTCTTTCTAATGGAAAGGCAGCAGCTGGTATCAGGTTAACAAAGCTGCCTCTATTCCTGCCAACGTAACTAGACTCACTTACCCTATCCACGTCTGTCTCTTTGACAAACCACAGAAGTTTATCCTCAGTGAGACTGGCCTACATCCGCATTATCAGATGTTTGGTTGAGATTAAAATTAACTACATGAAAGATAAGGAAAATCTGAGAGACAGTGCACCTGGGTCTAGATTTACTATATTTATGTAGCATTTTAGAGCATTCAGAATTTGGCAAATTGTTGAAATCAGTCTTAACTTTTAAGTCAATTTTCTGCAGTTCTTAGAAGAACTTACAGAAAATTAGCTTCTGTACTGGGGCTGTATTTAAGAATTCATCAAATTCTCTCTAAAATTCTTCATAAATATAGAGTGAATTGGGACCCAGGTGAAACGATAGTACATTTACTAATAAAACTAGTATTTATTACCAGTAATAGTATTTACTATTACTGGTAATAAATACAGTAATAGTATTTACTATTACTATTGGTAATTAATAATTAATTAGTTCACATTGATGTTCACTGTTATTCTGTGTTTTTCTGAGAGAAGAAAAAGTTAATGCTGCATTCTGAATATTTTGTTCTCTCTACAGATTGTTATTGCTAGGTGATGTGGCTGTGGATATGATCAGCAATTCTCTGGAATCAAAACTACTCTTGTTTTCATCATTTTTGACTAAAGTTATGTGATATGTAGTGTGCTACACACCTGTTTGTTCATGTTGATTGTGTTTTGTCGTTGTTGTTTCTGCGTTTGCTGTTTCTGCCCCATTCCTCTATTTTGTGGAGGAATTCTGTAACAGCAACACACAAAGGAAACAAAACTTAATGTGCAATTATTTAGAGGACATTAATGGAATCTAACAAGTATTTGCAAATTTTACTATCATAATTACATTCTTGACTTACATGGAATACTGCTTGTATAATGCACATTAGGGTTAAATACAATCAATCCAAATATTGTAATGCACTTCTATAACTGGTTACAGATGCTATAATATATCAGCAATAGTATACAGTAATAAATGTACAATTTTATTTTATTATAAAACAGAGATCTGGTCTGTGAACAAGTAAAACCACATGATACAGGTGGTTTGACCCACAAAAGCATGGAAGAACCACAGCGTAAAGAATGTACTGTTTCCAGCTGAATTACCATTTATACCCCACAGCTACATTTGCAGCACATTATGTAATGAAACATAAATTCTCCATAAGCAACATGCATACAAATGGGAATAGTCTAATCAAAACATTATAATAGCAGAAAAACAATTGAAATGACCAATAAATGGAGCCGCGTTTTGGCAGACAGATTTTAGCTCTGCAGTATGTTATACAGTCAGAATTCTACTATTCAGTTAAAAAAGCTAACTAAACTTCACTTGATTTAAGGAACAAATTCAAACAGACACTAATGGTTAGTTGGTAAACAAGCAGTAGATGTAATGTCTTCAATTTTGCATTTCTTTTACAATACAAATAGCTGTAACATTAAATGGAAATATATATGTTGTTCAAAAGGCCAAATTGCAGATGCAGGCACACTGAAGGTCTTCAGAGCAAGTTATTTAAAAATAACTCTGCTAATCCCATAAAGATGTTATATACAGTATACAATAATGTTAAATTGCTGTTCATTACTCTGCATGCAGTACTTAACTGATCTGTATTTTTTTTCTGGCAGGATATATAAACAATTTCAGAAATTATAGTTCTGAGATAAGTTGGAGTATTCTTCATAGTTATAGACTTAAGGTTGAATGGGAAGCAACATTGAGATAATTCAAGAGAGTCCTTCACAGGAAGTTAAACAACAACATAAAATGGATTGTCTGTTCTAATTCTTATCTCCTTAAAACTGTTAAAGACTACAGTGGAATTGATCCTGGAAACAGTTTATTGCATCTTGTACCAAATTTCAAAGCACACCTTAGATCATAAACATTATATTTGAAAGATATAGCTCAGGTAAATTAACTGGTGTGGTTTTGCCTATCTTGTCAAGACTATGAAAAAGTAGAATGGCTTTCCGTGGAAGTCCCAGTTGTTGGATTGATTGTAACAGGTGTGCTCTGCAGTTTCCGATTGGAACTTATTCAGTACAGGAAAGATCACGATGCCAATGACTACATCACTTCAGCATTGTTAATCCAGAATTGCATCATGAATGCACAGACATAAGTGTTAACTTGGGGCAAAATGCTAATTTGGGAGAGAAACTAATGCTATGAGGAATCACAACTATTGTGCAGGAATTCATGGGTTTAGCTCCCCAGAATATAAATGGGACAGATTGGAAGCCCTAATTTTCAACAGTGACCTTAGATAACAGAATTGGGAGCTCAGCATAAATATGACATTTGGTTTGATGCTAACGTTGGACAAATTATGTGGAGGAGGATTGAATGATTGCAGGTTGTGTAATGACCGCAACTGTTCTTTCTTCTTACCTTCTCATTGAAATTTGAGGACCTTGTCCTGTCTGCCTGAATGGCTTCAGAGGCAGATGTGCTGCTCTTCCTATCATGACTTCCTGAGGACCATTCCTGGGGGATAAATGATATTGTGCATCCTACAAATGAAATAGTAACAATTAACATGTTTTGAAAAACAATGTAAAATTCATCAAACAGTAATAAAAATTGGTGTAAAATAGGCTAATTAATTGGATTATATATTACTCCCTGTATGGTGGGTTTACGGTTTAAAGGGATGACTCTTTTTAGTGTTGCAGCAGTTATTCTTCCGCCTGGTCTTCCTCTGATATTATTAGGTTGTTTCTGTCCATGTTGATTAATCCCATTGTATCCTTGTGATCCGAAGATATTTCTCTTCAGTCGATTGAGTCCTAATTAAAATTACAGAAAAATAAATGACTTTAAAAATTAAGTCATTTGTATAAATGAGACCTCTTACAAAAATAACATAAAACCTAAATAAGCCACATTTGCCTCCCAGTAGTGTAAGTTACATGTAAAGAAGGAATTTCTGGCATCTCTAAGGGCAAACAGACTGAACAGTTAAAAAAGATCACAGTGGTTTATGTCACTAACACATGAATAAAATAAACCCTGGGTCCAGGGTGTTTTTATTCGGCTCTTTTAATTTGAATTATTTTTACTTTGACAACTTCCTATTATCTTTTATCAGCACCAAAAAAAACGCAGCAAAAGGGAAAGCTGAAATTACGGAGGACATTGAATTGTTCAGTCGGTTCAGTTATTATTTTACCTAATCTCCTTCATTTAACACTATCAAAACAAAAATTGGCCACTTTCCTGTTGAGAGTTGAAATAGCAATAGGGGAGCAACATAACATTGACAAAAAATACATGGTTTGAGTTCTATATTTCTTTTAATATTCGCATATGTAATTGTCAGTAAATGTTCCCAATAGCATGCAAAGCTTTGACAATGTCAGAGGTTACCTTGTTGATTTTGCTGCATTCCTCTTCCAAATACATTTTGTTTACGGAGACCTAAATTCCTTTGAATTTTCTGTTGTCCCCTTGTCCTATTTAATGCAGTTGCTGTAGAACTATTTTCCTTTTTATTGAGTTCAATAATGTCATCTGTAAAATGCACAATTATATTAAAGTTTTTTTTAAAAAATCTCTTGCAAACATTTCTTTGGATAATACTGTAGCTTTGCACAGCTCAGTGGAAGTCAGCTGTTTGAATGCAAAAGCATCATCCAAGAACTGTTAGTACATTCATGGTGAATGAGATTGGGTCCATCCTGAAAGACAAAAATTCTGACTTCAGAACATGGCATTTGTTCTTCAAATATGAACTAGTGATAGAGATCTAAGCTATGTAAGATACTATACTTATGTTTAAGACACCTGCTTTGCAGCAAATCGTTACAAATTTGATGGCAAATTAATGTGAAACATGTAACATAATGTGAGGTTGAGCCAATGTGAATTACGCTGGAGATGTGTTCCTGGTGCTACCTGGAGGAGGTGTTTTGAACAGCACAAAGTATAAATCAGGCTTCATGCTTCACAGCCCTCTCCAGCAAGAAGCCAAGCACAATATAAATGCAGCATCGGAACCTTCTTTTGCGGCAGCTGGGAGGAATGGAATGAGCATGGCAGTAATTGTCAGTTAACAGTATTTTAGCTGGCACACTAGATTGTGACAAAGGCAATGTGGATAAGGCAACAGCAGGTGATGAGAGTAATCTTTGGGGATCGTTTCAATAACATCTGGCGGTTCTCTCCAGCTGTATATAGTAAATGTTGCATTGTTCCACTGCTCTCCTTTCTAAAGTGGCAGAAATCTTCATCAGTTCCAAAAAAAAGAATGGAAGTCTTACACGTGTGACTGCTGAAAGAGCTTTTGGATTGGGATCGACTGTGCATTTACAGTAAACCTTATAATTCTTATCAGATGTCCTTTATAGCCACTTTATTATTATTATTACTTTGCTTCTAAGCAGACCAGCTCTTTTCAGTCTGATCTAAAATGGCTTCTCTGAGACCTTGTAAATATGCACTGATTCTCACGGGTACAATTGATGGCCCAGGTATCGTTGAACACTATCACTAAAGTATTCCTTTCGGTCTCTTAATTTTGGTGGTAACATATCAATAATCTCATGCTGTAAGAAGTTTATCCAGTTCGTTTTGTTAATTCTTAAGAGATAAATGAATATGCAATGTCAGAATTGATAAAGCACAGGAAGATAGAAAAATAATTGAAACATTCTTCTTAGTTTTCCAATCTTTCTGTAATTCCGGGTCTTCGAAATGTAAAGACAACTAATTTAAATAGAAAATAATCTTTGCGTTTGATATGGTGACCATTACGTCAAAGCATCTCAGTCTTCTCCAGTAATTGCTGTGGAGTATGGATACTTTGTAGTTGTAGACAGACATCGTAAAGCAATAACTTAATTATAATAATAACCTTTGTATTGGATCATTGAAAGAAAATAATAGGAAATGATTTTAAATAACAGTTAAAACTATCTGACAATTGTGAATCATTTCACTAAACGCTTACATAGGAAGTAACAAATTTAGAAAAAAGGGAACACCACACAAAAGTGTCCTTGAGAAACTAGTTTCCCCAAAACAATCAAACAGCAGTTGGTGCCAAAGCTTCAGTTCGGGGTTTGTGTTCCATGAGCAAACATTTCTTCAGCCCTTTTGAACATGTGTAGGTAGGAGAAACTTTGGAGATCTTTGACTTTTAACGAGATGACACTTCAATTTTGGATTGAACATTTTGCTGTGGGGGTTGTGTGTGTGTGTGTGTGTGTGTGAGAGAGAGGGAGAGTGGGGGAGGTGGGGGGGGGTGGGGAGCCCTAACGATTGTATAAAACTTTGAAAAAGTAAAAAAAAAGGAAAGGATAAAGCAATATTCCTTAACTATTTCCTGACTAATAATTGCAATCGAATGTATTTCCCCTAACGGAAGCAAACCCGACTGCGTTACGTCGTTCCTGCGATCTCTCTGGGTGACACCACAAGTGTTTAATGTCATCCGTCCATATTTAGTACTGAGCTTCAACCACTTGGACCTCAATGATCTCATACTCGCGCCCTTCCTCCTCTCTCTCAGTCTCTCTCTCTCTCTCTCTCTGTGTCTGTGTGTGTGCCCATAAAGTTTTAAAACTATATCGCGTGCCCGCAATTACCCTCTGCGACTGTTGTTCGGTTCCCACGAGTCACCCCTCCGGGGCATATTTTTCACCGCAAATCGCAATTGTTGTGGTTGTTTTTTTTTGTGTGTGTTGTTGCGCGCAAAGAACCAAGGACGCACTCACCCAGGGACATGTCGATTTTTTCTGAATCTTTCCCGACTGCCATCGGAGCGGGAGCGGTGGTGGTGGTGGGGTGGTGGTGGGGTGGGTGGGGGGGTCCCGTTGAAGTGAGCGTTGAGTTGAAATACTTTTGATGTGAATACGAGTCGGCGGGGAGTGACAGCGGGCGCATGTGCGGGACGCTGTCACTGGGCTGTCTTCATCCTGTGATCCTCGCACTGATACCTCAACAGAGCACAAAGCCTCCAGTTAATTTTCTACGCTGTCAGTTACTGGCTTTTTTTTTTACCCTAACAAAATGAGTCCAGTAGACGGGCACACACTTCACGACCCCCCCCCGACAAAATATTTTTAAAGAAAGCGTCGGCTTTCGAGCCAACATAAGTGACTCGAGGGAGTTGATATTATTGCGGTCTTTGACATAACTCGAGCGAGTTAATATTATTGCGGGCTGTCTCTCGGGCCCGAGGGCAGGGATTCGAGCCGCGGCTCTGGTGCGAGGGACGGGGAAGGACGCTTAAACGGGAGTCTCCTCGGAGCCGAACTGGCTCTTAAAGGGATTTGTTTGGCGACGGAATGTCGGAATCGAGCCATCCTTCTGTGGCATTTATGGTACTCCGGTTCCTGAGCCACGCGGATCTGCAGTACTCCAGGGCACTGACAGCACAGTCAGAGCTGGCTCATCAGCAGGACTTGGAAGCGCACACTGGTCACTGGGGGCAGGGAATCCCTCCCTGTTAACCCGGCAAGCCAAAGCCCTAACGGGAAAGATGGTCCTAGCTGGACAAACAGTGGGAAAACTTGCCAAACACTGATATCAATGGCATGCTATGCAGTTTTAGCTGGCTAGACTCCAGCAGTTTTCCCAAAGCACACTTTGGAGTCCCCAAGTCTTGACCCCTCCTGAGGTAAGCAGGATCGGTTGCACCAGGGCGAGTGTGTATTCCATTCCAACAAATATCTCTGGAACTTCCATGTAAGTGGGATGCATGGAATTCTACAACAACAACAACTTGGATTTATATTGCGCCCTCCATGCTGAATGGCATCTCAGAGCACTTCACAGTAACGGATCCCGGGGCTGAGCCGGGGGGAGGGGGGAGGAAGGTGACCAAAGGTGCGGTCGAAAAGAAAGGTCTTCAGCAGAGACCTGAAAATGGGAGGAAAAGGGCGTGAGGAAGGGAGTTCCAGAGCCTCGGGGCATAGTGGCTGAAGGCACAGCCGCCGAGGGTGGAGCGGAGAACTTGGGGATGAGGAGGAGGCCAGATCCGGAGGAACAAAGGCAACGGGCACAGTTTTGAGGAGAAAGGAGGTCAGAGAGGTAGGGGGGTGCAGAGGAGTGGAGGGATTTGAAGACAAGGGTGAGGATCTTGAAATCGATCCTCTCTGGGACAGGCAGCCAGTGCAGTCTGGCAAGGACTGGGGTAATCGAGGAACGGAGTTTGGTGCGTGTGAGAATGCAGGCGACAGAGTTTTGAATAATATAGATTTTATGGATGGTAGTGGAGGGGAGGCCAGCGAGGAGGGCATTTGAATAGTCCAGCCGAGAGGTGACAAAGGCAAGGACTAGGGTTTCAGCGGCTTCAGAGACAAGTATTGGCGGAGATGGGCGATGTGTCGGAGATGGAAGAAAGCAGTACTGGTGGTGGGTGAGGAAGGATAATTGGGGGTCGAATCTGATGCTAGGTTGCGTACGGGTTTGGAGAGTTTTAGTGGGGGGTTGGGTGAGAGGAGGAGGTGAGAACATGAGATTTTAGACGTTGACGAGAGCCAAAGAGTATGGCTTCCGTCTTGTCAACGTTCAGCTGAAGGAAATTTGCATTCATCCAGCTCCTGAGGTCTGACAGGCAGGCTGACAGAACATCAGGGGACTGGGGGTCGCAAAGTGAGGTGGAAAAATAGAGTTGGGTGTCGTCCGCATATATGTGGAAGTGTACTCCATGTTGGCAGATAACATCCCCAAGAGGGAGCATGTAGAACAGAAAGAGGAGGGGGCCAAGGATGGATCGAACCAGGCGAGTGAGGTCCCATTGAGGTGGATGACGGAGGAAGGGAGGTGGAGGAGGATGGCGTGATCGACTGTGTCAAACACAGCAGAGGTCCAGGACAAGGAGGCAGAGGAAGCTCTGGTCACAGATAGAGAGGATGTCATTTGTGACTTTCACAAGCGCAGTCTCTGTACCGTGGATAGGGCGGAAACCGGACTGGAGGGGTTTGAAGAGGGAGTGGGAGGAGAGGTGTGCGTGAAGTTGATTGGCAACAACGCGTTCTAGGACTTTTGCGAGGAATGGTAGTGGCTGGGGTTTGAGGGATCTAGGGAAGGTTTTTTGACGAGGGGGCTGATGACAGCAGTTTTGAGGGGGGCAGGGACTGATCCGGAGGAGAGGGACTGGTTGATGACATCAGCCAGTAGTGGGCAGAGGAGGAGGAGCTGAGTGACCAGTAAGTTGGTGGGGAGGGGATCGAGGCAGCAGATGGTGGGTTTCATGGAGGTGGTGTTGGGTGAGAGGGAGGAGGGAGAGATGGGGAGGAAGGGATGTAGGATGGGGGTCGTGGTAGGAGCAGATGATGGGGAAGGTGAGGGGGACAGAGAGGGCGTGATGTGGGTAATAAGAGGCAGGTGGATGAAGCTGCCTGGTGAACGTTGTGTATTTTAGATGAAAGGAAGTCCATGAAGTCCAGCGCCTTGGGACGTCCTCCCGATGTGAAAGGCGCTCTATAAATGGAATCTTGTTGTTGTCGTTGTTGTTGTTGTTGATGACCTCCTCGCACCTGGCATTGGATGTGAAGATTGAGGAGGCCTGAGGGGGCGCATGGAGGAGGTAGTGGGTAGTGGAAAAAGGACTTTAGGGTTGTGTTTAGCCTCCAAGATGATGTTGGAGAAGAAGGCCATTTTTGCGCATCAAAGAACGGCGGTAACTGTGGAGATGCTCGAGCCACAGTTGGCGGTGAACTGTCAGGCCAGTTTTCCGCCATCTGCGCTCGAGCAGCCGGGTTTGGGTTTTTAGACAGCGGAGATGGTTGTTGTACGGGTGGGTTTGGGGATGGTCCTGGATTTCAGGGGGACGAGGGAGTTGAAGGTGGAGAGGCGATCATGGAGCAACTGGACGGTTGATTCAGGATCTCCGCAGGTGGAAGGTCAGAGGGATAGGATATTTGATTATGAGGGTCTCAGGATATAGCCTTTTCCAAGGGCGGTAGAGAAGGTGGAGGAAAGAGAGATGTGAGAGAGAAGGAGATGAGGAAGTGGTCCGAGATGGCCTTATCCACTATACTAAGGTAGGAAATGTCAAGGCCGTGGGTAATGATGAGGTCAAGGGAATGACGACGATTGTGGGTAGGTGAATCTATGTGAAGGGTGAGGTTTAGGGAGGAGAGTAGGGCAGTGAAGTTGGCAGAAGTGGTGCAAGGGGAGTTTAGGTGGAGGTTGAAATCGCCCATTATGAGCAGGCGTTCAGAGCAGAGGGACAGGGAAGAGAGGAGAGTCAAGATGCCTGTGTGGAAGGAGTTGGGGGGCTTAGGGGGGCAGTAGACAAGGATGTGAAGATTGAGCTTAAAACTTAAATTCTAAGTTTAATTTGGATACTCTTAACCATGGTGATGGGTTTCCGCATGTGTCAGACCCCAGGCAGACAAAAAAACCTACAAACAATTCATTCACTTTGAATGACGATCATTTTTACAGATCATCATTTAAAGGCCTTCACAAAACTCAATAAAGGTAATATGTGACAATATGTAATTTTACATACAAATGGAACCAAAATGCAAAGCTTTGGGTCAGAAAGCAGAACAGGATATAACTCAAGGGATGTGAAATTGGAAAAACAATTAATGTTCTGTAATGCTGAAGTTACATCGTTGTGGTTGAAATTCAGACAATTCTCACTAAACTAGTGGGAAGTGAAACTAGACAGTCCAGAAAGTCCCAGTTGGATAATAACAGTGAAGAAATAAGAAGTATTTATTTATCTAAATCTGACTCTCTTCTCATTTTTAAAACTGTCTCACCATGGTTGTTAACACAATGTTTGATCTGATGGCAAAGAAAACATACCAAATAATGTAGTCTCCCCACTGTTATATGCTCATATTATTTTTCTGAGCTAAATATACTTCATGTTTTCGATACTGCTAAAAATAACTTTTTCATCATATTTGTATTAAATTCCACAAAGTTAACAAAATGGAAACAGAAGATACATTAATTACATGTGAACATTGCTTGTTTAGATCCACAACTAGTAAGAATATATTGCTGGAGTACTCATGGTATAAGTTTTGGAGTCATTTTGTGAAATATGGTATTTTTGTAAAATCTTCCTACCTATTCACATATTGTGAACAGGAATTTCCTTCTTGTAAGATACAAATTCCTGACACATGGCTTATTATACTGGAAGCTGTGGAATAAACAGACCAATTCAACACTAAAACATGTGGAACTCAACTGTTATATTTATCTATGTGACTGTCGCTCCATTAACCGGCAAATGAACTTTAATTGAATAAAGGCAAAGACCAATAAAGTCTGCTTGAACTCACTGTCGTAGAGGCTTACACATGAAAAATAGCTACTGGGGCCAAGTACTGGAATGCAGCCAGTGTCTGTGAGAGATGGAAGCCACCTGTGTGTTATGAAGCCCAATTTATTTATAATAGCCCTGCCCAAAATAAAATAATTTACAAGAGTGCTTTCACTTACATGACAGACTTTCCTAATTCAATTATGTATTCAGTACCTGTAATTTATCAGCCTTTCATGAAAGATCTCTTGTAAATTTATCATATTTCCACTGAAGACTTGCTCTCAGAAACAGACTCCTTTTCAGGTCCTCCCATATTGTATTGTCTCAGTTACCACCTTGTTAATAAAATCTTCTCTGAAAATTTGAAAATAAATTAGTTAAAATTTGTAACTAGAAATATAATTAGCCAGAGAGCATTTGAAATTAATAAGTAAAGCTAAGGGAGTGGGAAGAAACTGAAGTGAAGAAAATGTCAAGGTTGTTTTAGATTATAGATAGATCCCTTACATACAAATAAAATTGGGATTTCATTGTCTCCCAGACTCAACTAACTTAAAGATTTACACAGTGGTTTCCTTCCTTTTGCATGTAAAGGTTTCTGGAGAAGAGATAATGTATATACATATATAAAGTTAAAATATCAAAAGGCAATTTGATGAGTCCTTTCAAGTGTCAATCATTTGGAGTGAGACTTGGTGATTTTTGTTTAGAAATATGACCTAGTTTATATAAATGTCAATCAGAAAAAGTGAACACAGCTCTCACATTATATTTAAAGGCATCTGCAGTCTGTCTTGTTCAATTGAGTCTGTTAACCTTCAACACTGTTCCTAACCAAATACTTTTCCAGTTTTATTTTGAAGTAGCTAATTGAAACAGTATTTTGGGATTTGTCAGTTGGGTGCCGAACACAGGAAGAAAATTGTGGCCATGCTTAAGAGTATCTAAATCAGACTGGGAGTCCCACTTATCCCTTGCCACCTATGCGTGGAGACATTTGTGTGTTTGGAAATGGAGTGCTTACTCTGCCCTGAGGAATGCACCTGCTTAGCTCATTTTGGAATGAATTTGGCACCACAGGTTGAGAAGAGCCAAGACTTTCGGACCCCAGAGTGTATGTTGAGGTATGGCTGGAATTTTATCAGCTAAAATAGCAAGTAGCTTGTAATTGAGATCAACGTCACTGAAGCATGACAAGCATTGCTTGTCCAGTTAAGTGCTTTCGCTTGCAGGGTTAATTGGAGCTGAGTGGGAAGAATCCCTGTCCCCCCAATGACTGGTAGCTCTGCCCCTACAAACGTTCCTGACAATCCAGGCTGGAAACTTTGTCATCAACTGGCTTGGGAACTGGACTACTGAGAGTCTGAGTCCAACACGTATGTTACTATTCTTTTGAAAACACGTGTCAAATCCAGGCTAAGATGGGTATTCGGGAAGGATGGAAGCAAACGAGCTGAAGGACCTTGTTAATCTAAGACGATCATGAAAAGGCAATCCCAGCTTGGGTCCAGAAACCCCCGACTGTCCAGGGCCCTAGGATGTCTTTCCGACACGAAGGGCACTATATACACAGGTGTAAATTGGTGCTGTTGCTTCAAAGCCCTCCACTGTCTTGCCCCCCCCCCCCCGCCCACCTCTGCGACCTCTAACCAACCCCCTATCGTCCTGCTGGCTCCCTCCGCTCTGCCTGCTTCACGTCCCCCGCCTCGCTCGCCCCATCGGCTGGCGGGGCCTTCTGCCACTCTGCCCCCACCCTCTGGAACTCCACCCCGCAGTCCCTCCGCCTCGCCCCCTCCCTCGCCCCCTCCAAGGACCCATCTCAAGACCCTTCCCCTCTTCGACCCGCGCTTTCCATCTCCCTGCTTCCACCCCCCGCCCCGCCCTCCACCCTCCCCGACCCCGTCCCCCAGCTTCGGGTCCGTAACTGCGTCTGCCCCAGGGCCTCGGGACGCCCCTCCCGGACCCGAAAGGCGCCGAAGCAAAGGTAAATTCGCTGTCGTGTTTCTTGTCGATCCGGGTTTCAAGGGCTCACCCCCGACCCCCCCCCCCCAAGGGCAACACCTCCAGCCACGCCGTGCTTACCGTCCGCAAGCAAACGAGGGGGCCGTGTGGCCGGACAGCTTTGGGCGGGTTTGTTTTTGAAGCTATAAATCCAAGTTGTTGTTGTTGTTTGAAAGAAAAAAGAAAAACTTTTTTTTTCGCGCGCGCGCGTGTGTTGTCAGTTAAACCCCCACAGACCGCAGCCCAGTCTCAGAGTGACAGTTGGAGTGGAGGGGAAAATGGCGGCGTTGTCACGTGACGTCGCGCGGACGCCAACGGCTGAGGGTCACGTGCTCAGCGGCGGTCCGCCCCTCCCCCACCTCCCTCCCTCCCGCACTCGCACTCGCGGCCACCGCCGCCTTGCGTTGTTCTTCCGCGCACGCGCGGTGCTCGCCGTCGCGAGAGGCTGAGACAAACACAACCCGGAGAGAAATGGCGGCGAGCTTGGGTGGCCAGCAGCAGCCGCACCACCACCACCATCACCACCCCGCCCACCACCACCACCACCACTCGGCAACCGGGGCTCCGCTCGCACATCTCAACCGCAGCCTTGAGAGGGTCCTGGAGGAGGCTGTCCACTCGGGAATCCTCAACCTCAGCGGCCGAAAACTGAAGGAGTTCCCGCCCGTTAGCTACGACTTGACAGATACGGTCCAAGCAGGTGGGTCTGGCAGCACCTCCCCCCCCCACCCCCACACTCCCCCCCACCCCCACACACTCCCCCACACTCCCCCCCTCCCTCTCCCTCTCCCCCCCCCCACGCCCTCCCTCTCCCATCGCCTCAGCGCTTCAATGGGGGGGAAATGGAGCCTCTGCTGAAAGCCGGAGCGAGCGTCTTTTTTGCGAGAGAGAGACAGAGAGAGAGAGAGAGGGAAACAAAAAAGCCCCCCGACTCCGTAACTCGGTCGCCTCGGCGTCCGCAAATGTGAAACGGAGCGCGCGTTTCGCCCGTTTTTTTTCAAAAAAAAAATTTTTTTTTTTAATTTAAAAAATATAACGGTGCTGCACCGTCTCGTCTCGTCTGAGGAGCGGCGAGCGTTTTGGCGAACAATAGCTGAATTCCGGGATCTGGTGTGAATGAGGTGTTGGAAACCGGCTTTATTCAAGTGCTTTCCAGCTGTAAAGCTCTCTCTCTCTGTGGAAGGATGTGTGGAGGTTTAAAACCCGAGATTGGGGCGGGGGCCCGAATCCCTGGTGGACTCCACGCAACACTGTCCACGATAAGCCCTGACAATAATATCCTCCTCTTTCGCTGGACACATGGTGCTTAGCGTTTTTTCTGATCGCTTTTTAAAAACCGAAATGCGTTTGGATCTCTTGCATCATTTTGTTAATAAGCCCTTCGTGTCGCGGTGCTGTGCAGCATTTTGGGGTCCTCCACGGTCTTATTAATAAACTAATCATGCACGCGGGGGGGGGGGGGGTTACCATTAGATGTGCAGTGAGTTATTTATCCACAAATGGGGGTGGTTGAGTAAAATGCAAATTCTGTAAATCCAAGTGTTATGTTCTTTCCAGCAAAGATGTTAATTAGCCCACTGTTTACTTGATTTTATTCTTACTGTGTATTTCCAATGTAGCATTTTAAAATAGAATATTGATTGTGAATATGTGGCAAGCATCTCTGTAGCTCACAGTCCACACAAGTCGTAATAATAATAATCCTTGTATTTAATATATTGCCTTATCACGTCTTCGAGACGTTTCAAAGCGCTTCACAGAATAGATTCACTGTAAAGTGAATTGACTGTATATTTTGTGGGTGAAACACAGCAGCCATTAATACAAACAACAATAAGTGGTCTGGGTTGGCAGGCTTGAATACAATTTAAGTTATAGCCTTAAATGGTTCACACCTGAATCTACAAATTGTATATCTTGCTTTTATACAGTGTTTTTAATAAAAATACTGTGCTACTTTAATTTGCATGAGTTGATTTCTTGTGCCACTAAGCTGACTGGTAAGATTTGTCATGGGATGTCTGGTGAAATTAAGTAACCAGTGATTAAAATAAATCTTTAAATTGGTTGTATTATTGGCACAGTATTCAACTAATATACCAGACTTGTTTTTTTGTCTCATCTCCAGTCTTTGATTTTGTTAGTCTTTTAACTCCCAGCCATCTTTTGTTTAATAGAAATGTTAATACATTAGATTACTGGATGCAATGGGCTGAATAGCCTTCTTCTGTGATACAACTTTCTATGGAATACATTTTTCCATTTGGATGTTTATTTCATCTGATGGGTTGATATGCATTTTGTTGAAAGTGCAGAGTGGAACTATATCATGATGACAAAGCATAAGTTAAAAATTATGATAATTTCTTGCATTTGATATATTGCCTTTCACTTGGGGGGTAGGGGGATATCTTAAAGCTCTTCACAAGATTTACTGTAAAATGTAGTCACTGCGTATTTTGTAGATGAAAGTCGTAGCTAGTGTGTGCATAGCAATGTCTCATCAATAGCCACAGAGTGAATGAATAATTGTATCTGGGGATTGTTGACAAGGCCACCAGGAGAAACTCTGTTCACTTTTTGAATAGTGCCGCAGGATTGTTAATGTCCACATTCAGATGGTACCTCGGTTCAACATCTCATCTGAAGGGCAGCACTTTAAACCATGGCACTCTAAAATTATTCTCTAAAATGAAATTAGTAGAATTAAATAATGAAATATGGAAACATGTTCTGGTAACTTGTTTTCAGAATTTTTTTTAGTTTTGTGGACAAACTCAGTTGCACCCTTAATAAATTTATTGTAGCATCTTTAAAGAGTTTTGTAAATGTCATCTGAATTACTAATTAATGTACAACTTGTTGTAACCTAACTTGCCTTTAATGAGTTTTTTTAATGAAATGCATATTTATGAATATGTTTCAATGTCAAACATAACTTCACAACACTGGTAACAGGAGGAGGAGAATACAAAAACAATTGCAGATAAAAGAAATGTTTGCTTATGGAATATCAATAAATTACATTGTAGATCTATAATATAAGCAGATGTAGGCCTTATTGCTTCCTGTTAGTTATGGCTACTTTACAGTACTGTTTAATTGGTGCATTATATTTGTAATTACTCCATGGATTTATTCCAAATAGAGTGGAGTTCATATTTCTGTTTATCATTGCGTACTGATTTTCTAATGAACAGCATTTTAGTTGAACTTGTTTGAATTGTGCAAGAATACCTGTTGTGTTTTCATTAAGATGTGGTTAGCTGAATATGAGGAGGCTAAATAGCCTTCAGGAAAATCTGCACCAATTAAACAAATCCATGAAAGATATTTAATATAGCTAACTGAAGGGAATGTGTACCAGTAAAAAAAAGCTTTAATATGTACAGTATATAAAGAATTTGGGTGTGATTGATTGTTCACTAAAAGTCTCCAGACAATGTGAGGTAGCTATCAGTAAGGCTAAGCAAACACTAGGTTATATCATGAGGGTATCTGACAAGAAGTTAAAATAGGTTATTCTAACCTTGTATAGAGTATACCAGTAGAATATTTGTGTGTAGTTTTGGTCATTTTACCTTCAAAGACGCATTGAAGCATCAGTGCCACGTTTCCCGCCTCTGCTATGTTTCCCCTCTGACCGTACCTTACTCCAAATGCAGTCAAACCCTTGTGCATGCATTTGTCACCTCCTGCCTGGAATACTCAAACACACTTCTCGCTGGTCTCCCCAGCTACACTATTCAAAAAATCCAGCTCATTCAGAACTCTGCTACCCGCATACGTATCCAGATCAAACTCCGTATCCCATCTCACCAGTTCTGGCCAGGCTCCACTGGCTCCCCATCACCGAACGGATTGACTTCAAGATCCTCACACTCGTTTTCAAATCCCATCACTTCCTGGCACCTCCCTACCTCTCTGACCCCCTCACTCCCCAATCCACCACCCGGCGCTTCCACTCGACTGGCATTGGCCTCCTGCTTGTCCCTCATGCTCTCCGCTCCACCATTGGAGATTGCGCATGCGGCCATTACGCCCCCAAACTCTGGAACACTCTCCTTCAGTCCCTCTGCCTTGGACCCCCACTTTTTCAAGTCCCGTCTGAAAATCTTTCTTTTTGACCGTGCTTATGATGACCCCCTCACCCGCCCCCGGCTTGGAGTCAGGCTCCGCCACAGTTAAGCGCTCTGAAACGCTACACTATGTGTGGGGCGCTATATCAGTGCAAGTTGTTGTCGTATTTACATTATCAGAAAAGGTGGTGACAGGAAAACTGAGAGAGGCATAGCTAAAGTAGATCTATACAGGCTATTTGACTTGAAGCGCAAGAGCAGAACTAGAGGGTAGAGGTTTAAAATTAAAAGCCTCAAGCAGTACTAGAGATTAGTGGAAATGATTTTTTCCACAATTAGTGGATACGTGGAACAGCCTGACATCAAAAAAGTAGTTGTTGCTAAGGTAACTAACTCCTTAAAAAGGAACTGGATTTCTGAATCTGCTTGATGCAGCTATTAAATGATATAGGGATGAGGCAAATTAATGAAAACTCTAAAGGACACAAGGATTTGCATGATGTTGGGTGGGGAGGAGTAAAGAGAAAGAATGAGTTTGAAGTATAGGTTAGGGTTGAATAGAGGAGATGTGGGATTGTTACTTTTATGTCCTTTTTAAAGATACGTTCTCTGTTTATCCCAGCTTTTCCCATATAATTTTGTTTCATCCCCTATGATCTGGATGCTGTTATGCTTCTGCTTTCTGGATTTGTAGATGAGTCACACTCAGGTGAACAATAAGCTTCTGTTTTACTGGCAAAATAAAATCTGATTATATGACACTGCATATTGTATAGGAGATAGTATGATATGGTCTAACAGATCGCTTACAAAAATAATTACTATTTTATGTCCAGCTAATTATGTATTGAATGCAACCTGTTTGTTAAAGTTTTTTTTTGTTTGCTTGTAAAGAGTTTCTCTTGTAGTTTTCTTTCATGAAAAAATACTTTTCTCTTTCATCCAAGGAGAGAATATCAAAGATACTTTTTGACCAAACACATAATGTGAGGATGGATCCTGGGATTTGCTCTAGTCATAACAGAACATTTGTTTTCTACTTTGTTTATAAGCTGACATGTTTTTTTTAAAACTATGGTGACTGTTTTTCAAAGATGAATTGTGCCATGCAATTGTGACAAAAGTGTCTCATAAATAATACCATGTAAATGAGTATGTATCCAAAGGATACAGAAATCAAAACTTTTGAATTTAGTCTAGTCCAGTATTAACTAGACGTTTAATCAACCCCAAATACTAATCAAAACCCTTTTTTAAATCTCTGTTTGCTGTCTGTCTGCAATATACTGTCCATATAATTTTATATTTAAAAATTGGCTACTTTCCTGTTCTTTATAGTTAGACTATGAATTGGTTTATACAGAATTTTTTTTTTGAGAAATGGAAAGCAAATACTAAGTGACACCAATATGGAAAAATTAATTTACATGTTACAGGGCCAGGACAGATGGAGTTTGCCTTGTACTTAAGGGACCCCTGTGAATTAAAGTGGTTGAGCCAGACTGTAGGAATAGTTGTGGTATAACTTCTGTTATGAACGAGGCAGGATTGCTTCATGGGCTATTTGATGCTTCATGTGGATGTCCTGTATCTCAGCGGTTAGAGCACTCGCCTTGCAAGT